CTGCTGCATCGTTGTCCTCAAATCACACAGGCGGCCAGCAACGTGGTGTTGGAGTGACTGCAGTGTCCTACAAGCTCGACTTTTTATATCCAGTGCGCCTGTTCACTCCTCGGTTCCCCCAAAGCCTCGGTAAACAGCGGTACAGATGCTATTTGGTCGCAAATGTAAATCACCAATCAGCCAATGTAAAGGGGGACTAATGGCGGTGTTAACAAGGTGTGAACCCAGTGGCAGATTTTATTCAGGCCCATTGTCTCCACGTCTGGCAATAAAGGTTCAAATAAACTAAATTCAGGTTTTGGACAAGCTCCACAATAAAGACCAGTGTTGTTGTGGAATATTTCTCTTCTCTGATATATAATTTCATATCAGAAGAAAAGTCCAATTAAAGCTGTGGGCAGAATAAGCTTGGAGCTGTTCCCTTGAGGAAGTGCACTCGCCCTGGGAGGCTAACTGCGCCTAAATGAATCCATTAATTTAGAATAATGGGCCCAGTGTCTTAGGTGGAAACCAATTACTTTAATAAAGGGACGGGTGTCGCTAACTACACTTTGTTAAATTTACATCACTGCTCGTCCCGCTACAGTTCAGTAATCACCAAATCTGTAGTTTTATTTTTAAAACCCTCCTGCAGGAGCACAGGCTGATTTGATTTCTGTGACTTCCAGACAATGATTGTTCATTTTTCCGCGTGAAAGAACATTTTGTTTATATCTGACATGCAAAAAAAAAAAAAAACTCACTGTATAGATTTCCCCAAAACAGACATAGTAATATTAAAATGATTTATACAATGGAAATTTTGAGTCTAATATTTACCATTCACCACTTTGGATACAGAAATATTAGATCGTTCGTTATTAAGCATAAGCACAAAACATTTTAATAGAAGATATTTTTAAACTTGGTTGTTGTTTTTTTAAGTTCTTTCATATGACATCCAAAAATGGCGCAGTGTGCCATTTGGTGCCTTTGATCATTGCGCACAAATACGCATGAACAAAACAACTGACAGAAAAAAAAAAGTTTGGTTCGCTCACCTTAAGAGACATTTAACAGATCAAAGTTTTTTTTTCTGCATCACACATTGCAAGCAAGCCATAAAACGTCCTCTCTTTACATGACACAGAATACTGTGACAGAAAAGTGTTGTTTCACACGTTCATATGAAAATAAGGAGCTAGTGACTACTTGCACATGTGTTTTCTCAGAGACATTTACAAAGTAGTTTGGCTTGTTGTGTGCTCCTTTCCAGTATGTCACCAAAGCGCCAGAACTGACCCTTTGAAACTTTAAACCCTGATACTGATTCAGATGTTTTTACAATTAGATTTCATTAATTCGTCTGCTCGCCTGCCAGTAGCGCTGGCTTCTGGTAAATGAACTTGCTTCTGAACTAAAAAAAACAAAAACAGTTTATAAACCTCTTACTTAAATTATACTGGTTATATTTTTGTATCGTTTTAAATCAGGACCCATCACACCATTTGTTAAGCTGTAAAATATCTGAAATCTGTTTTCTTGGTTATGCGGTAGGATACCTTATCAACATGTGCCCTGCTTCACTTTAAGTCTGGACAGAATGTGTTGTACATTAAAGTTACAGTATTAAATTTATTTACAAAATTATCATTTTTACATATATTACATATAATACAATAAGCCTTTAGGGTAGAAAAGTCTAAAAATGACTAACACAGTATTTGGTTCAGTGGGTTACGACCACTGTGGATCACACTTCGCGAGCCTCCGCAGGTCTTGGAAGTTATTTTCCAGTAGGGGGCGCCATGTTCAGTTTTGGCAAAGGCAGGAAGTGATGGAGAGGATTGTGCGAATCTGCCCATGCTGGTAGAGAAAGCTGTGGCTCTCGTAGCCCCGAGGAACGCAGGAGCTGGACGGTCTTTTAGCCCACAAGTGGCAAATGTCAGGGTCTGATGGACTCCTGCAGCAGAAAATTAAAAGAACATTAAAATCACTTTAAACGTTTTATCCACTGTGTGTCTCCAGAAACACCAACCTTTCACTGAGACCTATCAACTAATTAAGCTACAGTATCCACATATAACCCACTGTCCAGTCACACTGTACTAGGACACTGACAAATGCATTATCCTCTCCAGAGGAAAGTAACTAAGTACATTTACTCAATTATTGTAGTTAAATATAGTTTTGAGGTATCTGTACTTTACGCAAGTATTTTCATTTTCTGCTACTTCATACTTTGACTTCACATTTTAGAGGCAAAAACTGTACTCCGCTGCATTTATTGGTTATCTTTAATAGCTAGTTACTTTTCAGAATCAGATGAACACAAAATACGGTATAATCATAGGAGTTTATTGATCCCTAGTGCAAAAATCAGCAATAATAAGCTCCACCTTTACAAGCTGAATATCAACCTGACAACACAACCATGCATCAGTGATTATAATCAAATCATATGATATACAAAATAAACAAAATGTACCTTTCTGCATAATGACTACTTTTACTTTTGGTATTTTAAGTATATTTTGATGCTAATACTTTTGTATTTTTAGTATCTAGGACTTTTGCCACTGACACTTTTTACACTGTGGCATTGCTACTTTTACCTAAGTAAACAATCTCACTGCTTCTTCCCCCACTGATTCTACAGCCATAACAAACTCATCCTGTGCAGCCAAAACCTGATTTTAAATTCAGAGAAATCAAAGTTTCCAAACATTCTAAACACATCAGGCTGAATTTGGGAGAAATGTGTCTAAAATAAGAGACAAATTCACACCCAAGTCTCCATGTGTTTATGGCTGCACCTTTCTATCAAACTCAAATATTCTAGATTTACTGTGTCTAAGTGTAGCTTCAATGAAGTGCAGGAACAAGCCGACACTGAATATTTCTGTGTTTGTGTGGAAAAAGAGAGCAGTTTTAAAGCTACTTACAAGGGAGAACTAGGGGGACGATTAAATTCAATGAAAAACCTTTTGCATGTGTTTATGCAGCATTTTCCTTCCAACTATTTAACAAATGTCTAATGATATGATGAAGAAAGTATAAGGTTAATCTGGATTGTGAACCTCCTCTTCTTCTTTTTTTAAGAGGACATTAAACTGTTGAAGTCTGCCACAATCAAAACTAAAGAAGAAGAGACATTTGGTGGCAGGAATTCACCTATAAAGTCGACATGTTCAGCACAGAAGGTGTCAAAGCTCACAGGCAATTGCAACGTGGGGGGCAGAGGAGGTGTGTGTATGTGTGTGTGTGAGCTGTCTTCATACTTACCTGAGAAGACACTGGTTTCCTGTTGTGCAGCCTCCCAAACATCTGCCCACATCTATTTCCTGGGGAAAATTAGCAACACAGAGAGAGGGCAATCAGCTCACAGCTGGGCACAAATATTGAACAAGCCAGGTTGGGGGTCAGCTGCTGTTTAGCATGTTAACTGCTTTGATTCGACACCTGCAGGGGCCATTTGTGTTTGTACTCCACTTGCACTTTGGTGCTGAGGCACTGCAGATGATGAAGACTGTCTAGGAAATCATCTTAAATTCTCTCCATCAAACTGTTTATTAGCAATAGAATTAAAACTTAAAGTCACTAATGACTTATTTCTGTGCTTTTCAAAAGCCAGTGTGTGCAGTTTGCAGGAAGTTCTTTTATAGTAGGAGTGTGCTGAATGATTTTAATGTTCTCCTGCAAAAAAGTACAGTTGGGACTGAAATACATTTTTGCAGTTTGTACAGAATGAAAATGAACTTTGTGATGGTTTTGTAGGGCTCTTGGTTACAAGCCTGATCTCACAATCAATTTTTTCTTTATAGCACAGATGGTGAAGGAGTTTTATCCTCTAGAGTTTTGTTTCCTTTCTCAGTCCATCCTGGAAATAGGTGAAGTTGTGCCAGAAATTCCTACCCTGCTTCTACCAAAATTAAATCTGCTAGTCTGCCTTGTGCATTGTTGCAGGTTGAACATCAATAAGCATGCAACACATCCTCAGGTCCTTCAGTTCAGGATGTGCGGTGCCAGCCAATGTCCAGTGGATTAGCTTGATTAAGTGCTGTCTCCACATGTGTCAGATGAATAAAGACACTTCATTATTGTCTGGCACCCAACAGACCCCCGTTTCCTCTAAACTAGATTACAAAAGGGGAGCGTGAAACCAGCATCCCAAATGAATCTGTCTTCTCGTGTTAAGTACGCCATGCTAATCATAGAAAAAGTGAGGTCTAGGGTAAGTTGCTGATGAACACTTACTTTGAGCTTCTCCTCTTTGACTCCATCCGCATTGTAGACTATTTCATAATAATACTCCACATATGGGACCCTGTAGCAGCTTTCCTTCAGCTCACAGGCCGCCACAGTCTGGATGAGGTCCAGTTTGTTGGGGGTTTCCACCAAAGCTGAGTCAAACTTAGTGGGGACACAGGAGAATCCCTCTGTGAATGATTAATAACAACATGTTAGGGTTACATGGGCAATTCTAGTCTGTGATATGAATCTAAACAAACAGTCTTAACACCAACACAGAATTAGCTCTTCAGTCATTCCCAAGTTGACTGGCAGGTCTTTCAATATTGACAACAGCTTTATAACTGATATTTTTCAGTAAGAGTTGAACAGTCAGTGCAAACGTGGCCTGTATATTTTCAATTATACCAGAATAAAACATAATATCCTTGGAACTTTATTGGTAAAGAAAACAGTAGTAAGGTCTGTGCTTTAATTCAGGGTCTGCAGTCTGTATTACTATACATGAAACAACAGTTATATTGCACTTTACTAGATGTTCACATTGTGCACTTTAGTAATCTCTAAAATCATCTAGTTATAAAAGATTATGTTAGATAAAGTCGGAGAATAAAATAATGGTAGCCTTTACAATTTCACTCCTTTTCCACTGACACGCCGGTGTCACATTTAATATAATTTTGATAACAGTGAGACTTCCCATCGTTATTTTTGGTATTAGAAGGACCAAAACGTCCATATTTTAAAAATATGAAGGAGACTGAAAACCTTATGTAACACTTTCCATCCGTTTCCTTCAGGCCTGCCACACACCCACCTGGAGAGCCCTTGGACCTGGAGCATCCTCCCACGTCGATGACTGTCTCGTATGGTGTCTCGGAGTAGTACGTCCTCAGCGCGGGGACGCGGATGCACTGGGTCAGCTTGATTTCACAGTGGCACTCCTCGATGACCTCCACCTCCCGGGGTCCCTCCAGCAGGAGCACCCGGTCCACTCGCATCCCGGTCGGCTCACACACCTGGTCCATGCCGCAGGAGGGCAGCTGGTTCGGCACGTCCGAGCTCCTGGGAGCAACCGATCCCCGCGTTCTCAGCTTTTGTAAGGTGAGAGAAATGATTTAATTATTTGGGTTAGACACGACAGAACAGGTTTCTGTTCGCGTTTCTGTAAGTGGCTCACATTTTGATACACAAGTTGTTTTACACCTGCGGTGTGTGGTTCGCGTTCGATTGCATGAGTCTTTTATTAAAAAAAATGTTAATAATGTTTTTGATAATGAAGTAAGACTCTATGGCGAGTCGGTATTATTATTATTACCGAACAGGCCTTTTGGAGTTTTAGATAACGGCCTTAACAGGCTTATCATAAAGCTACAGCGCCCTCTTGTGGACATGTGGGGAGACATCGCTTACTTTTTTGCTTCTGAGGAATTCCAGCATTGATGAGTGTTTTGAGTAGTCCTGCTGCCCAGCTTCATGTGCTGGTCTGGGTGCTCCCCCACAGTGTGACCTGCACATCCCCACATCTACACTGACAGGACTCCCAGAGATGTCTGAGGAGAGCGAGAGAGACAAAATGGATTTGATTTCAAATAGCAAGGCAGGCTACTGATAATTTATTAAAAAAAAAGTCTTTTCACTTTCTTGGTGTATTAAAAAATAACTAAAAGAGTTCTTGAACACACTGGGGAATGTCGTGCTTTACCTTGTCCAATGTACACGAAGTGACTCTGTCTTTTGCAGCACACTCTCTGTGAGAACAGGTTTCTGTGATCTACGTGTTTGTTCAACACTCCTGTCACTTGAAAGCACAAAGCAAACACATCAGTCCAGTTAGTTACTTAAAATTTGTGTTAAATCACTAAATTAAACATATTAAAACAAAAACTTTGAAATCACAGTATTTAAATTAAACACAGAACATAACTTTTTTGCCATGAAAACCTTTCATTTGCACTTATTTAAGACCAGACAGGTGTGTGAATATCCTCAACACACTCTCAATGACTTTAATGTAAAGATTTTAAAAAATATTTATATAGTGTATGACCATGTTCATCTGGAAAGATTTAAGTAGTTATAGCAAAGTAGGTTGACCCCACTTTGCCATTTAACACATCATACACACCTCTCAGCATCACACCCTCTTCTACTACTCATGTTTACCAGTCATATAAAAAGGGATTAACAAGCACATCAGCCCATTTAATGAATAGCTACGTCTGCATTTATAGCACAGCAGCAGTAGCATAAATCAAATAGTACTTACAGGTCAGGTGGAGGACACACAGGAGGAGAAGGAATGGCCGGGGTGCATCCATGGTTTAGTCCAATTCTGCTCCTCAGCTGCCAGATCCTGAGTGTCGCTCTACTCTCAGATACCTCTGATATTTATATGGGATCGAGCTTCACCCTTAAATGTCACCTGAAAACAAGGTCTCAGAGTGGTGTGGAGTCTAATCAAATTTCCATGCTGAATGCCTTGTGGGATGGTGTTCTTAAAGCAGAGGCCACTTCAAAGGCGATCCACACAGCTTTTCTCTTTCTGCTGCCAGAGGAGCCGGTGGCTCGAGTGTGTCGACCGGACCCAAGCTCACCCTAATGAAGTGCTTAAGTAGCCCTGAGCCATTAAAGCGCTGCTCATTCAAAGGCATTAATAATCTTTTATCTCAGGGGGAAGGTGTTTAGCACCTCCAACTTAAAACAAATCCTGGCCCAAACAAATAAACAGGATCAGCATGGGGGCCTGAAACTAGCCTTCAGAAAACTCAAGCACCTTTGTGTTTATTCATCATGACACCAAATGGCCAGACCTCTCAGAACCTCCCATCAAATCTCAGCTCCTTTTTCTCTGGAGAGAAAGTGGAAAGATCATGTACTAGCATAAAATAACATATATTAAATGTTTACAGGCATGAAAATCTGTCTGCACATCTTCCAAGGTCAAATGGAAACTTAAATAGGATGACAGCTGGCAAATAAATAAATAAATAGACATATAAATAGATAGACGCTGCATGTTTTATAAATTATCCCCAAAAAAGGGCAACCTAAATAATCAGTGTTGTTCCTTTTTCAATTCAATTAAATTTCAATGTCACAACATGTTCCAAAAATCTCATTTTATTCACAGGAAAGGAGTTAAAATGTTGTATTTCACTGGTCTCCCGCTCATATTTTAATAAGGTGTTAGCCCTTCTTTGAAGTGCTGATGTGATCCCCTCTTTTTCCCAGGGATCATTGGATCATCCTTCAGAGAGCCATCAGCACTCAGACACCATGATTAAAGTGTTGATTCCTTTCATTAAGGTCCAACAAATCTTGGTAAAAGTCAGCTTCAGTCTTAGTAATGACAATTTAATTATGTAAAAATCAGATTGTTCTATAAAACTCTGTGACGTTGACCACATCCGCTGACCACAGTGGACGAAGATGGATGGATGGATGAAGTTGACCACAGTTGGATTTCAGACCTGGTGTTGGACCATAAAGGGGAAGGACGTTGTAATTTATTGCAGTAATATTATTCATATTATTATTACCTAAAACTTGAAATAGACTCACTCCTTACTAGTTTGTCCATATGTGTCCATATTTAAGAGTTCAACAATGACAATGACAATTTTATCCCCTACTATTTAATGGCAACCAAGCAAAATGAATCTGAAGAACAATTTGTGATACAGTGTAAAGCAGTGTGATACAACAAACTACCCACCCTGACCATTAAAATATGCATTGGAGGCCATTGTAGGTGCATTAATCAGCAACAGTTTGTTGATTTTAGGGTGAACAACGCATCTATACATTTCTCTGTAAAGCTGTTGTTACATTTTGTCCATTTTCTTGTAAATCTTCTAGGAAGTCAACTGTCCTACAATCTATAGTAAACCTTTCCTCATTAGACGACTGTGATTCAGCAGTGCACATGTTGGCACGTGATTGGATTACAATGACTCATACAGTTTATGCATGATCACCGACAATCCCTGTGTCCAGTCTGGGTAGCAGAGGTTGACAGAAGTGACAGGGAACAGTGTCTGTGGCCTCTCTGGTCTCGTGTGTCTGTCTGGGTCAGAGGGCTACATGTGCAGACTCCTTCCTCTGGCTGACGATGGACAAATAGTGAAAGTAAAACAGGTTTTATTGTTTTAATTTGATGGAAAAGTACAACAATTAGCAGTGTTATATTTTATAAATGCGACCTTTAATAGCACCTCTGGCTCTTTTGAAAATTCTGAAGGAGAATTTGTGTTTTGATCAGTATGTTTACCTTGCATATAAACTGAAGATAAAAACTATTAAATAGCACTGACACCATGTGCAAGAATTATTCATAATAGTTTCACCTCAGATAACCGAACCACCTTAACCTCGGTTATAACCTTTCCTCAGTCCGCTGAGCTCTAATCATAATGATGGTCATTATAGAGGTAATCCCATCAATGTATTGTTCAAGCACATTTATTAAGGTATCTAGGTTCATGTCTAGGGGGTTAAAGAGGCCTCTGTAAGGACTGTCTGTTGTCTGTCTTGGGAGGGAGGAGTCCAACACTCTGCGATTACATGACAGTAGATCTGGATTGTACTCCAGGAGCACAGGCAGCATAGGGCCAGAGAAAAGAGCAGTGGTGCTATAACAGCATCTGGACAAGCAGTTCAGAGCAGCAGCATCTTTGAGCACTTTTTCTGATGTATGCAGATGGTTTTGAAGTCATTTCAGGCATCATACATCTTTTTTTCTGCAAGTTTTGGGTTGTGGACATTTGTTTTCTTGGTGGTCTACCACCTGTTTGTTTTCTAAAACCTTCAAAACTCAGAATACCAAGGAAGGCCAAGTCCCCTCTGGAGCCTGGAATAGAAAACATGTATTTGAACTGCAGGTATAATGCCATCAACGCAGAGAGGAGTA